GCTGCAGGGCCCCCCCCCCCAAAGCATCAGTGCCCCTTATATCTCCCAAGAGCATCACTGCCAAACAAAGCCCCAGTGCACCCCCTGTCTCCCCACTGGGCACCAATTCCCCCTTTACCACCAATGGGGCAGATTTCCTCCTGCTGACCACCAACACAGGGCATCATCCATCATCATTCTTCCATTGAGTCGTTGACCACCAACACCAGACATTTCACCCCCGTTGACCACCAGTACCAGCTGTTTTTTCCCCCCCTCATGCTGGTCACCAATGCCGCCCATTATTTTTCTCCCACTGATGCTATACATTTTACTCTCACTGGCAACTGATGCAGAAATTTTTTCCTCTTGCTAACCTCCAGCCCCAGCCATTTTTTTCTCCCACTAGACACTGATGCCAGCCAAATTTGTCTTCCACCAAACACTTAAGCCAATAATTTTTTCCTCTCGCTGGCCACTAACGTCAGCCATCTTTTCCTCCCACTGGCCACCAATGCCCAACATGGTTTCTTCCATTTTTGCTAACCTCCAGCGTCGGCCATTTTTCCTTCACGCTAGTCACTGACGCCAGCCATTCCTTCCTCTTGTCAACCTCCAGCGCTGGCCATTTTTCCTTCCCGCTAGTCACTGACGCCAGCCATTCCTTCCTCTCGTCAACCTCCAGCGCAGACCATTTTTTTCCTCCCATTCAGAGTAAGCAATTTCAATGCAGCTTGTACAATTGTGTCAGACTAAAGGTAAGGCCGGAGTTCAGCTCTAATGCTTACATGAAGAGTGTTGACTTATAATGACATGCTGAATTTAGTAATTTCACGTGTGTAACATGACAGGGCAAATGTAGGACCTCAATCTGCATGTCTAATGGTAGATCCATCACATATGCATGTATAGGTTCTGCAGGAGGTGGGGGCACTACTAGGAAGTGAGGTGCTCACCAAAATTCTGACAAGGTCAACCGGTATTATTTTGGTATTGAACAGATCTAACAGGGCGCCTACAATGGTATACCGCATATACCAGACCAAAAGGAAGCAAACAAGAGAAGTTCGTTGTTTAGGGGTTCCATACACTTTATCTGAGCTGAAATAAGGAGTTCTGTGCTCTGTAATCTAAAGAAACATTTTCTTCCCTCCACTTGCTTTTTCCTTTTGGAAATGGAGGCTTTGTGACAGGAATAATGACCATATTGTTCATTAGGCAACAATGCAGGTGTATGAAAGTATTGAGCCCACCAACCTCGGAGTCGTTTCCCTCTCCTTGCACATAATAGGGTCTTGCGTGTGTTCTGTATTACCGTAATACTCGGGATACTGAAGATTTCTGGAGGTGTAACATATATACAGCACACATTTTCTCCCAGTATCTGTGTGTTCAGTATGGCTGTATTATGTGTGTGGGCTTTCATGCCATGTGAACAGCATTGACTCAAGTCATCTAACAAAGGATTTTCAGGAATTATACCATACGGTATAATTATCAAGTTTGCTTTTTTAATCACTGTCAAGCCTATGTACCGGGTCTGTCCCTGCACTGCAAGGCTTTAATGCATAGTTAGGGCTAAGGTATCAGGAAAAGTGGTTTTACTTACCTGATCCCCGCTCTCCTGGTGGCCACAACTCTCCTCGTCTCCCCTACTCTCCAGCTTCTCTCGGCATCCTCACGTATAATGTAGGAGTAGGGGCCCCTGATCCCCGCTCTCCTGGCAGCCACCACTTTCCTTGTCTCCCCTACGCTCTGGGTTGTGGACGGTCTCTCCGCATCCTCAGGTATAATGTAGGAGTAGGGGCCCCTGATCCCCGCTCTCCTGGCAGCCACCACTCTCCTTGTCTCCCCTACGCTCTGGGTTGTGGACGGTCTCTCAACATCCTCACGTATAATGTAGGAGTAGGGGCCCCTGATCCCCGCTCTCCTGGCAGCCACCACTCTCCTTGTCTCCCCTACGATCCGGCTTGTGGACTGTCTCTCAGCATCCTCACATATAATGTAGGAGTAGGGGCCCCTGATCCCCGCTCTCCTGGCAGCCACCACTTTCCTTGTCTCCCCTACGCTCTGGGTTGTGGACGGTCTGTCAGGATCCTCAGGTATAATGTAAGAGTAGGGGCCTCTGATCCCCGCTCTCCTGGCGGCCACCACTCTCCTTGTCTCCCCTACACTCTGGGTTGTGGACGGTCTCTCGGCATCCTCAGGTATAATGTAAGAGTAGGGGCCCCTGATCCCAGCTCTCCTTGCAGCCACCACTCTCCTTGTCTCCCCTGCGGTCTGCCTTGTGGACTGTCTCTCAGCATCTTCACGTATAATGTAAGAGCCAGCAAGATCGGGGATCAGGTAAGTAAAACTCCTTCACACAGTCCGCTAGACATTAAAGGGCAGTTCACCTTTGCAGTGCAGAGGAAGCCCCAATACAAGTTATTTTTATTCTCCCTTTATATGTCCTTCCTTCTGGAGGGGGGCT